ACGGGGCAATTTCGCATCTTCTGACCTCCCTCAGCTCCGGAACTCCTTCACTCTGTAAAGTAGCTCCGGAATACTCTGCTTCGGAAATACTCGCATGCAATAGGAAGACTTCGCCCGGACAGCCTCGCATCTCGGAAGCCACGGATCCACTCCGGAAGCTGCAGACCCACTCCAGAAACTTAGAGATGACTTCGGAATTTCGACATTTGGCTCCGGAATTGACATATTGACTCCGGAACCCTCGCAAATCCGAGCCCCACTCCGGATTTTCAACCATTTCGGACCTTCATGTGATTTTAAGTGATTTTGACTCTGGAAATTTCCTCAGACTTGTAATTTTCATGACTTAAACTCTCCAAACTCATATTTTGGATTTTAAGACCCTATATATTCATAATTTAATCACATTTTGGGGGAAATATTAATCTAAGAACAATATCTATTGTGTAAGATATGGATGTGGAGTGTTGACTTTTCTTAAGGTATGCCACAAGCTATCCCCCATACCCACTTATGACAACCTCCACTATTACTCCCTACCTAGTCAACTATTTGTCCTCTCACACTCCCCTCCAATAAGAGATCTTGATCAAATGCTGGAAAAACCCTCATCTCTCCTCCACTTTACTCACTCTCTCACCAAAAAGCAAACACCTCTCTCTCACTTTCTCTCTCTAATAACTCGAGACTCCAAGGATGATATTGAGCTTTTCACTCACATTTAGTAAGTATTCTCTTCCTACATTTGAAAATTCTTCACACCTTCACTCAAATTATGAATCTCTCATAACAAATGTCGCCATATTTGTTCTTAGATCTTCAACTCTCCAAGCTTTTACCAAGTGTTCTTGACTTGGAAACCCCTTTTCTTCAGCATTCATATAAGGAAATCACTCAAGGTGAGTTTATACCCCTACATTTTCATGTTTTCCTCAAGTTTTGGGGGGGGGTGGAATACAAGTTAATACACCAAAAACTTAACTAAACTCAAACAACAGCTTTCATCATAAAAGTTGAGTCCTATTCACGGATTATTTTGACCATCTTAAACTCAATATCTTTCAAAAATGTTTTATACTCAAGTAGCTCAGGTTTATACCTTTCTAATGACTACTTGCACATCTTCATACGATTTTTATACAATTTATGATGATTTTTATAAAACTGTCTATCAATTCAGAAACGAATTCAGACCAGCCTGTGAATATGAGCATTTTCACACAATTTAGAGACTTCTAAAAATCATAATAAAAATTATGAATAAACTAGACACATTTTCTAAACTCCTGGAGTTTACGGATTCAGTTTTCGACTTCGTATGATTTTTCTAAAACAGTGCAGAAAGGGCAAAAACTAGTTAACAACTTACAACTTTCATAACACTTTGTAACATGTTGAGCAAAGTGTTTATCTTTGATGACTTCATATTTTACATGTGTTTCTGTTAAGTTACATTTAAATAACAGAAATTATTCACTGAATTGTAAGAGTCCTCTATCACTACAAACATACAAGATGAAACATAAGAAGTATTGTTATGCTTTGCTAAACATACTACTGACACATAAAAGGGTTTTACTCTCAATACAAACGGGTTTTTATTTACCAAATGATAAATTATAATAGGTATAGTTTATGGATTGTACATTTCAAACATACTACATAAAAAAGGGGATTTTATGACCACCTCAGAAAAGGTTTTACATTCAAACCACACGTAAACTCGTTAACGTAAGTTGTGAGACAATTCTTCAATTGTACTCTTAGAGTACGGGTTAAAAATTCCTGTAAGTTATAACCAGAGTCTCTTGTAGGGAGAGCGTGATAATTGTATATAGATCTACATTGGGATTGACACCCCACACCTTGCTGCTAGCTACAGCGGGACCTGCAGGTCTACGGGTGACAAAAGTCAAAAACAATTCTAACGTCTGAAAAACGTTGTAGCAGGTCATCCAGTTGTAGTATGGTTATATCGACTCACATAGGGAGTTAACAACACTTAAAGTTTACGGGAAATTCTACTTTAAAAAGGGTTTTATCAATTTAAAACTGCATTACTTCGTTACAATTTACGAAACACACTCATACATTCGGTCTTGGGATTTAAGACTACATAACATTTTATAAGGAAAATATTGGATTTTCCTTGAGTACACATTACATTTACAAATAAAGGTTTTTCCAACATTTCATCCAAAAGCTTATGAACTCACCAACTTAATTGTTGACACTCTTTCAAAACTACTTGTATTCTCAGGAAACCAGTGAAACAGGTAACCAACTGCTTTTGAGGATGGGACGCAAGACGTCAAACATTTCATTTTTGCCATCATAGTGTAATTGATATTGAAACATGTAAACTCATACTATGGTGTAAATTTTTCAATTTTATTTATGATGGTTGTATTTACTTTGAGCACTATTATACTCGTTGTTGTGATACTATACATGAAGTCCGTCACCCCCGGACGTTTCCACCATCCTTGGTTTGGGGGTGTGACACTTAGTTACCCAGTAGGCAAAAATAGGGCGGCAGGGCGCCAACGTGAAATTAGAACTCAGTTGAGCGGTAAAAGAGACGACGCACGTGACACACTTCAGGGTAAACGCAACGTCGTGACACGCCTAGATGAAGGAGTCTCGTTTAGTCCTTCGTTGATCGCTTTTCCATTTAAAATCTGAGTCCTCTGATTTCTTTTTTCAAGCTCTAAAATCTCCTGATTTTTTATTTCATATTTCTTCTTCTTGTTGTGTCCTTTGGTCCCTTATAACATGATTTTGGATTTAAACTCTGAGTTCACATTCTCCCATTTAGCTATCAAAGTACTGAGGTAAATATTCTGATTTTTTATATTAATGTTCTTACTTTCTAAAATTATTAATGTTTTTTGATTTCTGAATTATGATTGTAAAGCAGTGAACTGGGGTAAATTTTATGAATTATGATATTAGTTTCTGAAAATGTATAAATGTCCTGATGCTTGAAATTATGATTGTGATGCTTTCACATAAACAAAATGTTTTTTATGCTGTATGATTACAGGAACAGTATTTTGATTTTATTAGTTATATTATTCACTTATTTATAGTAGAGATTCTTGAAAGTGTTTAGGATTTGTATGAAATTTTTATTTAAAAGAGTTATGGATTATTTGGCTTTGTTTTTTGATATTTTTAATACTACTTTCTACATTTTCAGATCATTGGGGCTATATGGAAGAAGTGCTAAGTACAATTGTTTTAGATTAGCAAAACAAGAAATGAAAGCTTATTTTTATTTTTTTCTCATAATACTTGTATTGATGTTTAAAGTTTATTGTTATAATGGGTATTCTCTTGGCTTTGTGATGGCTGAATGCATGGGTGTTTCCCCTCATCAAGCAAACATATCATTGTTTTAGGAATTAGTATTTTGTGCTCATACACTTGAGTGGAGCCTTCACCTGCTGAGCATTTGGAGCTTTCCTTGCTGCTGATGTGATAACGTGTTGGTGCTTTCTTTCCTGCTACTGTTGTGATGTCATTATCATTTGGTGTTGCATCAAGGGAGCAAATGCAAAGCTTTTGAAAATTGAAGCATGTGCTGATATAAAAGGGATGTTGATATTGTCACTTGTCTCAAATATGCGCTTGAAGACTAACATTCACAAACTAATTATCTATGGTGATTACACGAAAGGATTATGACACTGGATGATAGATGCTAGAGTTTAGTGTATCTAACAATATCTGTAAATTACAATTTTTTGTCCCTTATATGGGTTTTTGGTTTTAGCTTTGAACACTTTTGCCCTTATAGTCCTATATTTTTATTGAAAACATAATCCTATGTTTTTATTGAATTTGTTGTTAGAAAAACAAAACAAATATAGTGTTTTATTTTTGTTTGTTGTAGTTCTATAGTATAAAATTAGGGCATCATTATGTCTTTTTGCCCCGGGCAACAAATTTCTTTGGACCGACCCTGAGTGTATACATGTGTAATGTTACATATAACTACTAGGCTACTAAGTCGTGCCATAACGTGAGACGTAATGTAGTCATTATGAAAATGTCAAATGAGGGTTTGTTAAGCGTGACACCTAAATAACGTGTCAACGCGCACCTTATCGCGTTATAACACGAGTTTTTTTTAAGACACACGTTTTTTTTGTTTTTGTTTTCCTGATTAGGCTTAAAACAAATGAGTTTTTGTTAACTTTTTTTATATTAAATTATTATAATACTAGTTTATAACCCGTGGGAACCACTGTTATAAAATTAATTAAATTTTTATAATAAAAAATTATAATTATTAATCAATTATTTTAAATAAGTCATTTTAAATTAATTATTAATTAAGAGATATATCAAAATTTTAAAGTTATTATAATTTCAAATTTAACATATAATTAGAAAATATAAATTTGAATTTTGAAATGAGTTGCCTAATATATCTAATTATCTACATAACACATAACATGATATTAATGAAGAGTTGTATTGGAGTGATACTTAATAAAAGAAGATTAAAACTATTTATTTATTAGAATAATGATAACACTTTTAAAAACTTTATATATTTAATGTAATTCTATAATTATATGATTTTTTTAATGTATATAAAATTATCACACATTGTAAATTGTCATTGCTCGTCATAACTTAGACTTACCTTGTTGCCTATCCTACGCCCTCACACAATTTAGATCGTTGATTAATAGTTGTAAATATATATATATATATATATATATATATATATATATATATTTAATGTATTATTGATAAAAAGACAATATCTATCTATATTAATAATAGAAAGTAGAATATATTTTTTTTTTCTGCAATCCAGGAAAATGTAAACTTTTAGGACAAAACAAATCAATTGTTTTAACAGTGTTTAGTTTGTAAATCAATCTTCCAGATACCGATACACTATTGAAGTGTGTGTAAAACAGTGAACCAAATTGTGAAAAGGCTAATTAAAAAGGAAGGTGCAGCAAGCATTTAATGGAAACCAAGGTTTCTGGCTAACACTAACACGCGTGGAGAAGCCATTCTCATCATACTCTTCTTACTCACACACTACAAAAAGCACCGTCGTACGTGTGAAGACACGAAGCTTTTACAGAAAACCACCGTCGCATCCCTTATTTCTTCATCATTACTTCATTCTTTTGTTCCCCTCCCCACACACTCTTTCACTCTTCCCAATCCCAACCAATGGACTCTTTAGGCCACGCTATTTTCCGGCCACCGGAGACCCCAAATGAGCCTATGGAGTTCCTCTCTCGCTCTTGGAGCATCTCCGCCTTACAAGTTTCCAAAGCTCTTGCTCCTCCGCACCCTACCGGAGCTCCTCCTGATGAAATCACCGCCGCCGATTTCGAGGATATTGTTGCTAACCCTTTTGCGTTTGCGTCGTCTGAAACCTCACAACTCATCATGGAACGTATATTGGCACAATCTGTAAGTTTAATTTTAAAATATTTATTGTAGTTTTTGATGAATGTTTTGAGCTGAAACCGGTGATTCAACAGCAGGAGGTATCTCCCCGGACCTCCGGCAGACTCTCGCACAGTAGTGGCCCTCTCAATGGCTCCCTTACCGACAGTCCTCCTGTTTCCCCTTCTGAAATGGACGACATCAAGGTTTCTCTCTCTCTCTCTCTCTCTCTCTCTCTCTCTCTCTCTGTTTGGAGCTATTATCTGCCGCCGGTTGACTGTGTTTATGATCATTGGATAACTAATTTTCCGGCAGGGAGCCTGACATGGTTATCGGTGATTTGATACCTGTTGTTTTTTTACAAAACACAACACCCAGTAGAGAACTATGTTGCAGCTTTTTCTACAGCCTATAAATTTTATAGTATAATAATCACTACACGCCAAAATAAGAATTCAAAACAAAAAGCTTCCAAGTTTAATTATAGGAATTTGGAATTTAAACCTAACTAATAATGTTCATAACTTCGATTTGATTTTGATAAGGATATGATTTTCTTGTTTCTTGTATTTCATGATCTTATTCAAAATAGTCAAAAGTGATCGTAAATATGTATTCTGTCCCTACCACAAACATTACACCACTTTCTTTTTCGATTTCCCATGATAATTAATTACTACCGTTTAGACTTTTACATACCGGTTTTTTTTCTTTACTTGATGTATAAAAAAGATTTCCTCATAGTATTTTATCTAGACAAGACTTAATTCAAAAAAAAAGTAAACAGGGCCTAAAATAGAAACTGTTACCTCGATATCTTACAAGAAAGCAAGTTATTAATCAGAATCTTATAGATATTTCTAATGTTCTATGATATGACTCAAGGGTAATATGGTAATTACATTAGTTTTTAATAGTATTGATGTTTAAGTTTTTTGGTTGATTTGATCCTAAGTAATGACTCAAGGGTATTATGGTAATTACATTAATAATGTTGATTGTTAAGTTTCATGGTTGATTTGATCCTAAGTAATGACTCTTAATGGGCAAAGGGACCAACTTCGATAGTTCCCTTAAAAAATGGGTACATTAATGTAGAAGCAGAAGGTAGGTACGAATCTACAATTATGCATTGGCATTAATATTGTATAATTATACAACATAATATGGTCCACAACCTAAAAATAGAACAAGTACAACGTATTTTCTTGACCCACTTTCAGCATACATAACAGGCTATGTTTGCTGTAAAATGTATAGTAATTTTAGTAACAGTTATGGTAACAATATCAGTCCACTCAGTGACAATAATAGTTAAACTAGTAATCGTAACAATAATAACACTAAGGGAGCTTATTTGTACACAACAATTTTTCTCCATACGCAACAATTTGTGTTTTAAAATATTGTATTGTACAACTCTATAAAACATATATTGTTGTGTATGGAGAAAAAATTGTTGTGTAACAAGATGAATATGATCTAATTGATATCGTTACAAGAAGGTGAAAAAAATGCAAAAGTTTATTGGCTTAATTGGGGATTGCTAATGGTGTTTTTTGTAGCAGTACTGTCGATTGAAGAATCCGGTGAACAACCAGTATAGAGGTGGAGCCGCCAGTGTTGCAACTACCGGTGGTGGTGGAGGGAAAACGGTGGGGAGGTGGTTCAAGGATAGAAGAGAGAAAAAGAAAGAGGAGACTAGAGCTCATAATGCACAGTTACATGCAACGGTTTCGGTTGCCGGAGTGGCGGCTGTTGTTGCAGCAATTGCCGCCGCCACTGCCGCCTCATCTGGCCATAGAAAGGATGACGAGATGGTGAAAACCGACTTGGCGGTAGCATCCGCCGCCACCCTAGTGGCGGCACAATGTGTGGAAGCGGCGGAGGCCATGGGCGCTGAGCGCGACCATCTGGCCTCCGTTGTTAGCTCTGCGGTTAACGTCCGGTCACCTGGTGATATCATGACGTTAACCGCAGCAGCTGCTACCGGTAAGTTGAAATTGTTAGATGCTGTTTCTCAAGTATGACCTCATTTTAAAATAAATAAATAAATAACCCACAACTCTTAATTGAAAAAAGGGTGAATTACATTTTGCTACCATTAGGTTTGCTGATTTTTATGGATATGGTCCACAAGTTTCATTTTTAACCTTTTTTGCCATGAAATGTAATTTTGTTATGATTTTCGTCCCTGAAGTGGACGGTATTTAGAAGCTGCCATGACATCCTAGCATGTGTGTTGTTACATGAGGGTAAAAATGTCTTTTTCCTATTATCTCTCTTCTATTATTATATCATATTAACAATATTATTATTAGACAAAATTACATTTTTTGTCCATTTCAAAGTCTGTCATGTGGAACATGAACAGGAAAAGACATTCATACCCTCATGTAACAACACACATGCCTCAATTTGATGTTAAATTTTAGATGATGTCCACTTCATGGTCTAAAACCATGACATAAATCCTTTAAGGGACCAAAAACATTAAAATTCAAACTATTGGACCATATCTATAAACACCAACAAACCACAACGACGTAAAATACAAATTACCCTTTTAAAAAAAACATGACCTTATTCTCGCATTAGCAACTAAATTGAAGTTTTTGTGACGGAATTACCCCTGATGGTAATTATGTGTTAATTTGTACATTATAGCGCTTCGTGGTGCGGCGACATTAAAAGCACGGGCAGTGAAGGATGCGCGTAATATCCCGGCCGTGCCCCGAGGGGACAAAGGGTCGGTTCATAGTATTGGCACGGGAAGCAGTTCAAATGGTAGTACTTTTAGCGACGATTTTGTACCCGAAGAGAATTTCCTCGGGATATGTAGCCGAGAACTACTTGCCAGAGGTTGTGAGCTTCTTAAACGCACCCGTAAAGGTTCATTTTTAATCAACCCAATCTTTCAACATTTTTTAATCAATGCGTACTTAATGTTTTATGATTTTTATTTGTTTTGAATTATTTCAGGCGATCTTCATTGGAAAATCGTCTCGGTTTATGTCAACAAAATGGACCAGGTTAGTTTTCTTACGTTAGGTTTGTTATATGGTACTAAACACGCTTTCCAGGGCTATTTTTTTGATAAAGATATTTGTACAGACAAGAGATCGAGAGCGAGTCCTTGTCCCACATTTTTCCGGTGGAACAAAATTTATAATTTTGTTCCACTGGAAAAAAGACAGGGACTCACTCTCGATCTCTTGTCTGACATCCTTATAATCAAAAATAGCCCCAGTCCTAGTCATGGGCGACTGTCTCAGGCATTAACATGACATGACATGACATCCTGGTGTGATATGAGACTGGAATTTGCCGGGATTCACTCATTGGGATAAAAATCATAATTTTTTATTCACTCAAAAGACGATCTTACCCGTCATTATTATTATTATTATTATTATTATTATTATTATTATTATTATTATTATTGATGAAAGTGTGTTAAATCGGGGACAATATGGTAATTTTAACATTGGTTGCTATACGGACAACATCAAAATTATTAACACTGAAAAAGGTAAAACATGAAACACTTACAAAGTGTCTATTTTTGTGCATATGGATCAGGTGATTCTGAAGATGAAGAGCAGACATGTTGCTGGGACCATTACAAAAAAGAAGAAGAGTAAGTTTGGTAACCCCAACCCCACCCTAAATGCTAGTGGTTTGGTGGGTCTTTTGGGGATTTGTGAAAGCATTAAAGACTAAAGTCACAAACTCTCATTCTTTTGTCACTTTTTTTTGCAGATGTTGTCTTGGAGGTTTTGAAAGATATGCCGCCATGGCCTGGGCGGCACCTGGTGGAAGGCGGCCATGACCGCCGCTACTTTGGGCTGAAGACGGTGACTCGTGGGGTGGTTGAATTTGAATGTAAGAATGAAAGGGAATATGATATCTTGACTCAAGGTGTGTGTAGGCTGCTTACAGTTGCTGCTGAAAGAAATAATAGACTTTGAAATAGCTATTATTGAAATGTAATATAAATGTGCTTTTTGGGTACAATTTGGAATTATGGTTTAAGTTTGAGTGATTGGTATGGTTTTGTTGCATATATTAAAAAAAGGCAAAATGCATGAAATAGAGATGTATTTTCATTTATTTTGTGTTATAGTGTTCTATTTTCATTTTTATTTTCTGTTACTTCGTTGAAAGTTCAATTCTTTTTGCTTATTAAGGTTAGTTTGAAAAATGTACCTAATTATAGTGTTGTATTTGCACCTTTTTATTTATTTATTAGGATAATTACATATTTGAAAAAAAAATTCTAAAGGGCTATGGTGGTGAAAATTGTTTTCTATTTGAAAGATATTATTATAATTGGTTATTAGTTTCAAATTAGAATGGTGTGGTAGCAAGAAATGTTATAATTACGAATCACTAAAAATATCTTATTAATTTTTGTATTTAATAATTTGTTTAAATTGGATAAAACTATTATATTCCAACAAAAGATTGAGAAAATCAAATGTGTTAAATCTTAAATCCTAAATCCTAAATATAGTGTGAAAGTGGAAAACCATGTGATGAAAAGAAAAGGAATTGACAGTCAAAAAGGAAAAGAAGTAAAGAAAGATCGGTTCTTTGTTGGTTTATGTGTATTGTGTTATTGGACTTCTTGGTTTTGCTTTTTGGAATTTATGTTACCTTTAAATCTTATTTAATTGTTAGGGTACAATCTCTTTTGAAAGATAGTGGATATGTCGTTAAAAAAGTAATATTACCTCTAATATAGTTTTTTTATATATATAAATGTCTAATTTACTTAGGAAAATTTTAACTTACGGAAAAAGGGTGATGACTGTCGACGGATCATCTTTATCCGTTTGATCCATATGTACATAACTTCTAAGAGATAAATTACTAAGACAAAAATACGAATACAACCCTAAAGTATGGAAAAATATGAAAAATGTGCACTAACACCCCATCCTCTTCAAACTCAAGTGGGGGAATGATCCGACTTGAGTTTGATTACAAAAAAAATAAAATTGTGAGCCTTTGTGAATAAATATAGGTTGATCCGTGATTGAGATAGGCATGAGAGACTTGCCAACCACATGTTGATAGACAAAGTGACAATTGATCTCAATGTGTTTTGTGCGCTCATGAAAGACATTGTTATGCATAATATGTATAGCATGGTGGTTGTCGCACGAGAGTAACATGGGAAGAGAGAGAAACTCCCATACCAGCAAGGAGCCTCCGTAACCAAACTAACTCTTGTGTTGTCAACATGCGCTTGATATTCGTCCTAAGTGATGGATTAAAATTTAAGGGCTATCTCTTATTTCACAATGAAATAAGAGAGTAGCCAAAAAGAAACAATACCCATATAATAGATCGTCTGTCGGTCGTACCATCATCCCAATGCATATAAGTAACCCTATTAGACTAGAAATGATGTAGATGAAAAATAAAGACTGTCAAACTTTGTGCAATTAAGGTACGCGAGAATCCTTAGAGCAACAACACTGTCGAAAGAATGAATGTCAACTTGTTTCAAACTTCTCATTGTTTATGGTTGTATCATCGAGCTGTATCCTTTAATCTTTATATTTGTTTTATTTGTTTAGGGTGTATTTTGTCAATTATCACATGTGTATTTGTGAAGAACTGTTGCAGGAGTGTAGTTCTTGTCAAGATCTGAGATTGCTGGACTGCGGCTCACTTTCTTTGTAACTTCTAAGGACACGCGGATTTTATCCGTTGTATATAACGTTCGTGTGTGTGTGTGTGTGTGTGTGAGTGTAACATCCGGGCTCTCAGGTATATTATTTATCTATTTAATTTTTAAGGAATATTGAGCGACTCGACGAGTTGATGCTACGACTCGTCGAGTAGAGACGTGTCCGGCCGCGTGGGATTAATGACCTACTCGATGAGCCAGAGAGTCGACTCGCCGAGTAGACGCTGTGAAGTGAAACCCTAAATCCCCGGGTTTGGGGCCTATATAAGGACACTTATAGC